ATCGAAAAAACAATAAAAATATGGAAAATAATAGGGAAAATAAGAAAAAGGTGAAAATATTTGAAAGAAAATTAATGAAAAGGCTGAAACAATTAGTAGAATTTAAGAATAAAATGCATAAATATTATCGCTAATGCTAAATAACATAACCAAGATTAATAGTGGATGTTACATTAATTACTAATTCTAAAATTTCTCTAAGATTTTTTCTTATTAAATTTTTCTAATAATTAATAAGCCTAGCAATAGAGATGAACCAGCTGCTTCTGGCGGGCTGTCACTCAGACTAGCTAACATAAAGGAAGACGATAAAAAAATATCTCATAAGGCAACAATATCGCATTGTTCAACGACCTTCCAACGAATTCTACCTCACAACGAAAATCAAAAGGAAATATCAAAAATAATTAAAATAAAAATAAATAGAAAATAAAAATAAAATATTATAAAAAAGAAATATATTAATGGAATATAGAAGGTTTTGTTTTCGCAAATCAATTATTAATATCTGGTAGAGAAATGATTAGAGTTGAATTGCGGAACCATTGTCGGAAACTATTTTCTAGAAACATTTGTGAATATAATAAAATATATATATAATTATGTTTATTTAAATCACCACTATTAGCTGCAAATAAAAATATTTTATTTTCCACTTGAGAAATTTTCGTTATTCAACAATTTAGCTTCCAAAAAAAATTTTTTTTTACTTTTCTTTACCATAAATTTAGCAAAAAAAAAACACAAACACATTAGCTGTGAAAATTTTCAGTTTAATCAGTTAAATGTTAAACAGTAGAATAGAACTTTTTTTTTTGAGAAATTTTTTTTGTTTTTGTGAATAAAAAAATTTCGGAAAATATCACAAATTATATTCCTAAAATAAAATAGAAAAATTAGTTGAATTAGATTAATTCAATTTTTGTTTTCTGAATTATTTTATAAAAGTTTAATCTTTTTTTTAAATTTTAAAATGGTATTTCTAAAAAATCAACCTTTCAAACTAATAATTTTTTAATATAATGAATCTTTTTTAATGAAAATGAAAATATTTTATTCGAAATAAAGGATAGATGGAACTCTCATCATTACTGATTAGATTCACTCCGCTAGCTTATCACCACACTAAACAAATATTTCCTAGCGAGAATATTTCTCTTGACGATAGAAAAATGAATCTAATCGCCTGACATTTATAACCTTTTGGACATTTTTGGATATATTTATTATTTATTCCTGAGCGGAGAATCTCAACGCTTCGAACTAGGTAACAATCTATTGAGCCGTTCTACGCCTCGAAATGTTGATAAGTAGAAGAAACTTAAAAACTGAAAGTGAAGAAAGTTAAGAAACAAGTAAATGAGAGTTAATATTAAGCAGATAGCTTTGCTTGTTACGGTAAGAAATTTTTGCCAAGAAATCAGTTTGTCACAGAAAAATAGAAATTCATTCGATTCGAATACGAAAAAATATGATTATTTGGAATTTTATATATTTGCTAAAATTTGTTAAATTCATCGTTAAGGAAACAAGTTTTTGATTCGCGAAATTTCACCTTTTTTTTTTATGCTAAATGGAGACGAAATTGGTCTATAAATTTTTATGAAAATTTTGAAATTTTCCCAAAATTTTAGCGATTTAGTTTTTGATTATAAAAGAGAATAAATTTTAATAATTCTTAGATTGGCTTAGCGAATTCGCTCAGCTGCTATTATTTCTCTAAATCAGTATTTCTATAGCCAAGTGATTCTCTTGGAAAATTTTAACAGTTAGCCATAGAATTGGTGGCTCAATGACCAGAAAATTGCTACCTGGAATTAAGGCTTAAGTTTGAAATCGCCGATTCTTCTGCTCGTTGTCCAGCGATAATGTCGCCTAATGAAGAAAGACAAAAAGAAAATAGAATGGCTCAATGGGTTGTTGCTCAATTCGAAGCGTTGAAATGATGAAGCTATATTTTCCGATATGAATAAATCTGTCCAAAAAAATCCGAGTAATTCGGGTGATTTAGCGATACTTCTATCGCCAAGAGACTCGCTGGCAAATTTGTCTAGTGCCAGCAAAATGAGTCTAATCAGTGATGGTAATCAGTAGTGTTTTTTTAAAAAAAAGAAAAAAATTCAGCATGGAAAGACTAAAACCAGAAATGATAAGCATTCGTAGAAAAATGGTGATATTCAAATTTTATAATTTGTTAATAAATTTGTAATAATAAATTTAGTAAATTTTATAATTAATAAATTATAATTAAATTAAATTAATTATATTAATTATAAATTAATAATCATAAATTATTAATTAATGTTATTTGTTAAAAATTATAAAATAAAGTAATGCTAAATTTATTAAATAAATAAAAAATTAAATAAAAGCAAAAATAAAAATTAAAAAAAATAACAAAAAAAATTTATTTTCCGATTTTCAATTCGTTACTATTGAATTATTTTTTATTATCTATTGTTAATATTGCAATCTGTAATCGGTTAGTGGAATTCTGGCTCAGCCATATCGCAGCCAAAACCAGAACAGATTTGATTCTCGTTCACTTATATTTGATCAAATCTTTTATACTAAGGGAAAACCGAGTGGAGGATGAAAACCGAGAATGTGGTGAAGTTGTTTGCATATGTTCCGCAAATGACCACCAGAGGAAACAACAAATGGTGAATGCTGAATGCTGTTGCTGCTTATTCAACAATAATTCTCTCTTCTGCTCGTCCTAAATAATTTCGTTGCAGATAATTTTTATCATATCTTATCACAACAAAATTTAAACTGAAAGACTACTGAAAGACCACTGAATGACAAAGGCTAATCACCATGCCACCCACCAATAATCCATAGGAATATTTCATGTGGCCACAAAATGACTACCGTTCGGCCACTTTTTATTACAGCCGCACTAACCTCGCTTTTGAATTTGGCATTTTTTATTTATTAAGCAAAATTTTTTTCCGTGAGTTTTTGAATTATTTTTGCGAAAATTATGTTAATTTTATTTCACAAATATTTTAATTTTAATTTTTTAATTGTTTTTTATTTAATAAATTTCAATTAAATTAATCAAATTTTCCGTTTTTTATTTACAAATTTAATAAAATTTATTAAAATATTTTTACAGCAATAAATTTGCATCGATGGCTTATTATTATTATAATTAAATTATTTTTTCAAAATAAATTATTAAAATATTACAAAAAAAGCGAAATGAAGGATCGATATTCTGAATTTTTAGCGGTAATTTTTTCTTTTTTGTTTATTAATTATTTTTTATTTTCTTTATTTTTTTAAATTTGAAAAAAAAGAATTTTTCAAATTCGAATATTCTTTAATTTATTCATTTAAACCTTAACTTTTTAAAATTTTCTATTAATTTTTAATAAACTGTTTTTTGAAAATCTTTTCATAGACTAAAATAATTTCGAAATTTTTTTTTTAAATTCTGGAAAATTAAATAAAAATTTGCAGAAAATTGGCTGAAAAAAATTTCCTTATAATCAACTATGAATATTTTAGATAGCAAAAAAAAATCATAATTTATCTGATCTTTATGATATTTTTCATGGAAATTCAATAAGCAATCCCACAGAATCGACAAAATTAATTGAAATTAATGAAATGCGAAGCAATAATACCGATAATAAAAGTATCGAAGTTGTTAGTTGTTTTTTTCAATCATATTTTTATTTTTATTTTTTAAAGATTTTAACAGATTTTTTTTTTTTCTAGTGAATTTATTCTTTATTTGTTAATGTATATAACATAACATAACATCATATATTTATTATTTTTTATTATTTATTTTTTTAAGAATTTTCAATTTTTTAAAAATTTTTTTAAAATTTTAGTTTTTTTTAGTTTTTATCAAAAATGAATTGCATTCACAAAGATTTGAACGATATGGAAGATTTATTTAAAGATATTCGAACAAAACGCTCGCAAATATTAATCGAACCTGGAATCCACAAACGTTAATTGTTTTTCTTTCTTATTTTAAATAGTATAATATTTATATAATATTTTTAAATATTTTAAATCTTTTTCATTTTGTAATTTTCTGATAGATGTTTTATAGCGTTTATTCTTTCGATTAACATTTGGCTTACGTTAAGATTCCATTTTTTTCCTTTGCATTTCTTGGCAATATGATAAACTGGATTGCATATTCTGGATTATAGACATCGCTGGCATTCAAACGTTCTCTTTATTTTAATAATGAATTTGATAAATATAATTAGTTTCTTAAGAATAGAAGCCACTCGGATTGGTTTATCCATTTATTGCTTTGGCCGTAGAGAAGCTGTGCGGCTTCAATTTATAACTTTTGATAGGCTGAACATATCAATAAAAGCAAGCAACATCTTTACTTGCATCTTTAATTTTATACGATGTACTATTTTGGCCAGTGGAGCAAACTGAATCAAAAACAGCGCAAAATAGCGTAAAATAGCGCGAAAATAGCGAAAGATTTTTTTATCATTAATTTTACAGTTTTTTATTTAAACTAATTGATTTTTAATTGATTTTGATTATAAATTTATTGAATTAATAAAATTCTATTAAAATAATCATTTCTTTTGAAGTAATATATTTAGCAAATAAAATTTCAACTTTTTAATTTTTAGTTTTTATTCTAAATTATTAATATTTAATATTTAATTCGTTCATACAATATTAATTAAATTTTTAGAATTAACTGATGATTTAGACCGTGCAACAGATTCGTTCAAATTTCTTTCTCATCAATGTCAAAATGCAATTAAAAGTAAAGTTTTCTTTTATCATTATTATTTATTTGTAATTTTTTTTTAAATGATTCATATTCGAATTGGTTCATTGCAGTTTTGAACGAAGAAGTTAAAAATATTGATAAATTAAATAAAGAAGCACAAAAGAACAAATCAAGCGATCGAATAAAAATAAATCAGGTTGATTTCTTTTTTAGGTTTTTTAAAAGTCTACATTTGAATCCTTGCTTAAACTTCCTATTGATATAGATTATGGCTGCGACGAAAAAATTTCAAAAGATTCTAATCGATTTCAATGAGGATCAGCTGAAATTCAAGGAAAAATGTAGGCAGAAAATAACATCTTTCCTAAGCATCTGTAATTTTTATTTTTTTTTATTTTAATTTTTTTATTTTTTATGTAAATTTTTTTTTCTTTAAGAAGCTGTTACTCGGCGCATTTTTTTCTTTTCGTTTGAATTGGCAATATTCTATGGCAAATCAATTTACCGTAAAGGAAAAATTTATTAAGGAAAAGGCGATAAAAATTAAGAATAGTTTATAAAATTTTATAAAAAGTTTAAAATATTTATACCAAATTGTATTTTAAATTTTTTTAAAGAATTTTTAGCCGGTCGTCAATTACCAGATGATGATATCGATAATGCAATAGAAAGTGGACAATTATTTGATTACACTAAAGGGGTTCTTCTACCTTTGTTATTTATTTTAATTGTTTTAAATATTTTTTCCATTATTTATTGTAAATCTCTTATTCTTTTCATTTTATTTATATTTTTTTTTAAATTTTAGCTTATATTGGCTCAGCGTGATAAAAAAGCGCTCTATGATGAAGTTAAAATGCGTCATGATGATATACTCAAACTCGAATTTAGCATTCGTGATCTGAATGATTTGTTTCTTGATATTTCTGTTATTCTTGAGAATCAGGTTTCTTAAACTATTTCAATCTTCAGTGTTTGATTTTTTATCAGTTTTTTACTTACGAAATTTTCTTTCAGATCGATCTTAACAAAAAAATTCTATCTGGTTTTTTTTTCTTGATTCTTATCTAATTTATCATTCTACCTTTTTAGAATTATTTTATACTTTTTGTAGTTCCTAAGATCAAATTTGTTATGGTTTTATGGGTTATTTAAAAAATTAATTAGCTATGTATGAAATTCATTAGGCAAGAGATAAATATTATTCTTAACCACTCTCATTTCTAGGGTGAAATGCTCAATCATATTGAATCTAATGTAGAATCTGCTCTCGATTATGCTAATAAAGCACATGGAAAAGTAAAAGAAGTGAGGAAAATAAGAGAAGGTTTGCGAAAGGTAAATTTTTAGTAAATTCTTACTTTATTTTTTTACTTTTATTTCTTTTATTTTTTTTGTTTGTTTTCAAATATTAGAAATATTTTTTTGCAGAAAAAAATTATCTTATTTATAATAATTATTATATTAATAGTTATACTATTTATAATCGGTTCGACGGTTTTCTGCTTTTATCTTCCATTTTTTTGCAAGAGGAAATGACTTGGATTCCATATATTTTTTGTGAAAGTAATTTTTTGCTCAGGTAATTTGCATATTTTTTGTTAAAAATTATTCCGTATTTTTCGATCGACAAGAATCATGTTTTATCATTCAGAAATTAGTATTTTCCAAATTGTCTTCAGTTTATTGCAATTTATTTTGTTTAAACTATATTTAATTTTATTTTATTATTAATTTAGTCCAATTTTGCAGATTATATCAATGGAAAATATGTATTTATTTATACATATTCGTTTAAAACTACTATATCCTATCTATCGATCTTAAATGAAATGTATCAGTCGCCTCTCATGCCTTTTTTTTTGAAAATTAAGTTGATTGAAATTAATGTTTGGTAATTTATAATGATAATAATAATTGTAAATGATAATTGTTGCTTATTATTGCACTGATAATTTCATTATATTTTAATTAGATTTTTAAAAGTTTTCATTTTTTCATTTTCAATTTCTTGGATTATTATTTAATATTTTCTCTTATTTTATGTGGCCTTGTTTTTTTTCTTTGATATTTTATAAAATACATATCTATATTTATATTTTAAAATTTTTACTTCATGCCTTGAATGTCTAAGATGGTGCCTTCACTTTTTTCTTGCTACAAAATTGTATAAAGATAGCTCGCTGAAAATATTTATTTTTTGCTCATATTTTCACTTGTCAATTGTCAATCTCAGAAATTCTCCTTTTTTTATATAAAAAATTATTCGATTTCTCAAAAATTTTATCAAAAATTTTTGAGAAATCGATTACTAGCATTTTAGGCTTTAGAAAATGTGGTAAAAATCGACCGCTCATAATAATAAATGATTGATTCAGTCAAGGAAATTCTATTTGCATGGTTTAATGCCAATCTTTCCTTGTAATTGTCGATTTTGCTGGCCCATGTTTCTACCTTTTTTCGTTTTATTCTATGTTATTTTAATCATTTTACTTATCATTTTTTTATATTTCAAAATTGTTTTTTTAAAATTATTTATTCTACGCTACGCTTTTTTATAAAATATATAATATATGTACAATATATAAATATCATAAAATGAATTTTTACGATTATTTAGGTACATTTCAATTTTTTTCTTTAGATAACTATCGATGATTTTCCAAAAAGAAAATTCATAGATCTTCAAATGCGTTGAAATGTGTTGATTTAAGATTTAATGTGAAACGATATCGCCAAATCGTGCAACTCCAACAATCGGTGTATCTGGTAATGCTCCTAAAATTATTATTGATTATCATTTTTCAATCGAATATTATGTTTTTAAAATTTTCATATATCATTTATGTATCGTTGAAATTGAAATTCAACGATAGTTCATTTTTTATCAATTAATATTATTTTATTAAATATGATTGAAATAAGAAATAAGAATGGATGAATATAATTTTTTTTTTTAGTAAAATTTAGCAATTTTTAGATTGTTTTTCGGCCAAAGTACCATGGAAATATTCTGGTGATCCGATGAAGTATCGAAGGAGAATTCAATAAGATTTAGTGAATTTCAGATTTTTGATAGTATAGTATTTTTTTATTATTATAAAAAAATAATACCGTTCTTCTCCGAGAGCATTTGTTTAAGGGTACTTTGTTCAACACTCAACTCCTCATCATTTCGCATATAACTAAAAATTAAAATTAATTATTATTAAAAACTAAAATATTTGAAAGTATTGATATACATATAAATATAAAGCATATAAATAAAAGAGAAAATGGAAAAGATTACTAGAAGATTCATTAAATTATTTTTTATAAAATATAAAATATATAATTTTTAATTGGTAATTTATAACAATAGAGAAATTTCAAAGGAAATTTTTTAGAATCAATCTATGAAAGTTATAAATCTTCAGAAAAATATTAAAAAAGGTAAATACGATAGGCGCTTAAATGAATTTTTTCGAATTTTTCGAATTTTTTCGAATTTTCGAATTTCGAATTTTCGAATTTTTTCTAGGAAATAAGTATGAAATAGGCAATAAAAAAAGTTTTTTCATTCTCAACTGGTGATAATAGACTGATAAAAAGAAATGATAATTGAAATGATAATAAATGATAAAGAAATGATAAATGAAAATGACCACAACCGATTAATTAATTGATTTTATTCTAGAAATATAGTTTGTTAAAAGAAGAAAGGAAAAAACTTATAAACTTTGCAGAAATTTCTATAATTATAAATTAATGAAAATCTTAGGACTTTTAAGGAAAAAATCTGAAGCAAATTTTAAATCAAACTTTAACGAATGTTTTATTGTTATAAAAAGAATTTCTTTCGTCCATGGATTAATAAATGGTTTCCAAATAGATTTAATCATAAAACAACCAATTGATTCACATCGAATTCTATAGTGTAATTCGTTATTTGTCAACGATTTTATTACTAAAAACTTTAATTTTTATTTGTTTTATTAAAAATTTTAATAAAAATTAATAAAAATTTTATTTTTCATTATTAATTCGTTATTCGTTATTCGTTATTTATAAGAAATCGAATCGAAGCTTTTTATTTATTTATTTCTTAAGCATTTTTTTTTCATATTATTTATTTTCTGAAAAAAAAATGCTAAATTTTTGAAATTTAAGCCAAAATAAAAATATTATATATGCAAAATTTGTGTACTAAATAATTAAAATAAATATTTTTAATCATTTTTTCGCATCGTTGAAAAATAATTGAAAATTTTTTTTGCAATTTAAAATTTTTTCATTTTACAAATTTTATAAATTAATAAAATAAATTAAATTTTTAAATTTTAAATTTAATAATAAATTTTAAATTTAATAATTTAATAATGAAAACTTAATAAAATAATATAATTTTAAATTAAATTAAATTTACTTAAATTTACTTTAAATTTACTTTAAAAATTTTAAATTAAATTTACTTTTAAATTTCTAAAATTCATTGATTTAAAGAATTCCAAATTATAAATTTTATAATTAATTATATGTTTTAATTATTTCAATAATAAATTTCGATAGAATTATGAAAAAAATAAATGATTTTGATCGGATGTTTTTACCTCGCTTATGATGATGTGCAACATCGATAAGATCGCCTTCATGCACAATATCGTAATAACTTTTATAAATGAGGCAATGTGGAAGGTAACCAAAAATTTTAGTCACTCTTTAAAAAAAAAAGTATTAATTAAGTTTGTGAAACGGATAAAATTGTAGAGTAATAAATAATAATATGAGATTTAAAGTAATTTTATTTTTTTAAAATAATAAAAATAACACAAAAGAAAAAAAAAGTGACTTACAAAGAATCGCATTGAATTATTCGACCATTCAGCGAAATTCTCATACAAAATTGTAGTGCATTAACTGAATTATAAAACTTATTTAAAAAAAAAAAAAAACTTAAAACTTGAAATTTAAAAATTTAAAAACGTTGAAACTTTGCAATTTGGAATTTATAAATTTAATTATGCAATATTATTTAAAATAATTTTTTGAGAATTTAGGGAAAATTTGGAAGAAATAAATAAGTCGAAATTCATTAATTTAAAAAAAAAAATGAAAATTTGATAAGTTAAAAAGTAAAAAATAATGAAAGAAAAAATGCGATGCTGGAAATCCTTATTTGGTATTCTCATTTTAAGTATTTCTTTGAATTAGGGGATTTTGTCCCAATAAAGCTCGCCAGTGGAAAAAATACCATTTGTGTTGTTTAAAAAGAACTATTTTTTCTTCATTACAAATTTATAAAAAACTGATAATTTTAGAAATAATTTTGAAATTGATAATTTAAAACTGATAATTTTAGAGAACTTTAAAGAGCTCTTTTAAGCGAAAAAAAATAAAATCGAACATAGAAGAATATAGAATAAAATAACATTCAATTAACAATTGAAAAAAAAAAATTTTTTTTTTAAAACATACAAATTTTTGTTTCAGATTTCATTAGTAAAAATATTGAGGTTAGAATATTATTATGTCGCAAGAAGCCATATCCATGAAATTTCTGATAATATGGAATTGAATTTCTTAAATAATTATTTTCATTAGATTCGAATTAAACATATTTTTTCAAACTTAATTTATCAATTTTTAGATTAAACAACTTTTATCATAATAGTTCTGACTAATTGATTTGCCTATGAAAAGAATAGAATGTATCAGTGAGTTGTTGCTGTTACTTATTGAAATACTTAGATTCCACTCTCGATAAAAATAAAGCAGTCTTTCAAAAATCCGAGTGGTACTATCCTATATTTCTATCGTGAAAAGACAAACAAAAAAATTGCTTGATCCGAAAAAGCCGGAGAAGCGATCCTTAATCAGAAATGATGAATTCTTATCAGAAAAATCACCTTTTATAAAACTATTGCTTTTTGTAATAGTTGTTTGATTATTTGTTTTATAGAGATTATTTATAATTCTTACATTTTTGAGGTTCGAATTCGACAAATAAAAGAACGCTTTAATCCGTATAAAGAAATATTTGATGGAGAAATTGCTGTTGTCGAACTAACTGAATCATTGCTATTAACTGAAATTTTTTAAAAATTACTATCGTTTGATTTTATTCGCAAAATTTTTATAAAATTTTTTTAAATTTTCCAAATTTTAAATTTCAAATTTTTGTTAAATTACATTTATTAAATTATTATATTATATTATATTAAATTTTCTGTAAAAAGGATAAACTAAAAATTTTTTGATTTAAAAAGTAATAATAAAATAAAATTTAAAAAAAAAAATAACGATTTTCCGATGAGAATTTATTGTCGTCAAAAATAGCAAATGTCACTTGCTGTTTAAACATTTGAATATCATCATAATGCAATAATTCAAACCAATTTCTAAAATTTTTATGAAATTATGCATTTAATTTCATTAAATTGTTAAAGAGAATGAATTTTGAGTTGTAAATTCTATAATAGTTTGAAATCTTTGAAGAAGTTTCCATGGAGATAATACTGGAAGGGGGGGGGGGGGGGGGGGGGGGGGGGAGATGGAGATGA